TGTGTGTGTGTGTGTGTGTGTGTGTGTGTGTGTGTGTAGGCAGATCAGTCTCAGAGATGAAACTGGATGAAAGATGGAAATGAGTGAAACAAACTGATATCAGGTCAGTTTAATTCTTCATCAGTTTTGAAGAGCAGAACCTTTGGCTCTTTTGGACCACAACAGAACCACACCACAGAGCTGTGGCCTGAACTGATTAAAGCTGATTAAAGTTTACAAATGTTGGCACTGAGTCTAAAAAGCTTTGGCAGCATTYGACCAGGTTTGATCATTTCTTTTATTGGAATAGTTCAGGCTTTAGCACTGATTTTTAAAGCATGTTTGGTTTTTGTCAGGTTTTTCAGGAGCCTCCACCTGGTGCATCATAGTTGTTTACTTCTCTTTGTATCTGCAGGGGCAAGGCCTGATGTCTGACTCAGCTGTGTCAGAGACCACCAACACCTGCTGAGTCAGCACAGACCACCTCCCTGATCTAACTGCAACATTTAGTGAAACTCATGTAATGGTCGGTGCGTGCAAACATCTGYTTTTAACTCTATTAAAGTTCTGTATCCTCAGAAATATTCTGCAACCTAAAAACAGGACGTGTTCCTGCTGAAACAGACTTAATAAAAAATAAATAAAAACTGTTCACTGAAGCTGAGAGAAAAATGAGAGGAAAGCTAGTTTACATTTAACTTTAAAAATAAAAAGCTTGTAGTCAAAGCAACAGGATATTCAAATCTGACTCTTTACTTTGTTGCAGACCTGTAGGAACTGAGCGTGCTCAGAACCAGGGAGGCTGCAAGACAGCAACAAAAGTAAAACATGATAAAACCTTTTAAAGAAGTGATTTCTGGTTGTTTAAACAGTTTGTTCTAAAACTCAGTAATATTTAATATCAAACAACAAGTAAAGAATAAAATCCTGTAATAAATAAAATAATAAAAAGTAACTTAAAGTGCTCATTTTGAGCTCTGGTACTGAAGGAAAACAATGTGCTGCCTTTGCTGTGAAAATCAGTTTAATCAAATACTAAAAAAGATGAAATAGTTTCTTTTGAAACTTGAAATCTTTGCCCGTGCAGTCGGCCACAGAGTGGCTCCACGCAGGTGAGGGCAGGTGTCTCTTACCTCCAAGTATGTGGGTTTCAGTCCAGTCCAGGGCAGGTTTTGCATTTCATGGCCCATCATCTGGGTGGAGACTGGCAGCAGACTTCCTGCAGCAGGAATCAGGGCAGCTGGGGACTATAAAACACCTGCTTCTGGAAAATCTGACACAGATCAACCGTGTTGGAAACCAAAGGATAGGTGTGTGTGTGTGTGTGTGTGTGAGTTCCCAACGATCAGTAACTATCTGATAAAAACAGGTAGTTCCTCATTGAAAATCATCATGAAATTGATCATTTTGGAGCTGATTTCTCTCCCTCTGCTGATGTCTGTGATCTTCTGGACGCAGGTAAACATCTTTCCTTTTGTTACACCAACAACAATACAGTCAGGATTCTTCTTCATCAACTTCAGCTTTTATGTTTACTTTAAATTCTGTAGTTTTACATTTTTCTGTCTGTACAAAATCAGTTCAAAGTAACCAACTAAAAGGCTGATTTGGAGACTCACCTGGTCTAAATGTCAAAAGGAAGTTCTCAAATCAGAACAATTTGCCACAGTGAGAAAAAACACTGGTCTGAAACTTTTCTGCTTTATTACCTCCGTTTGGTTTCTGTCATTTAAATAAAACTCTTTTTATTAAGTGTTTTATTACAGAATGAATAAAAGCTGGGGAGTAGAATTTAAAGGTGAGCGACCTGAAGCCTGCTGCATTCAGCCAGTTCAACTTCTCTGGTTACTTCCTGCTTATCTGCTTTAATTAACCCGAAAAACCTTTAAAAGCTGCAGCGACAACCTAAATCTCTGCATCCAGCTGAAAGCTGCTGCAGGTAAAACAGGAAGCTGATCGACAAAAAGAGGAACTTTCTGCTCATGTCATTAAAAATGTGACCTTTTCTGAGCTAAATATGCTGCAGGCCGAGCCGGTTCTGGAGAAAAAGAGACTGGACCCAACAAACAGAATCAACTGTCCAAACAGTTCAGTTTTAAATGACCGTTAGGAAAGATTTTCATTTGCTCAGAAATTTCTGAAGGGTCCAAATCTGAGTGTTCTGATCAATATGCTGCCAACAGRACACTGCATTTCCTCATTCATCTGTCACTGTGGACACAAAGACTGGTGGCTTTACATCATCTGTTCCCATGAAGACATGTTTGTCTGCTGCTTCCATTCTGAGGTAACACAAGTGTCTTCTTCTCTGTTCTTTATCAGGGTTCCACAGCAGAGACTAATACCACCACCAGCCCTGCCCCCGCTACCACTAACAGCATGTCTACCAACACCAACAGCACCAACAATGGCAAAGGCAGCAGCACCACAAGTGGTACCACCAGGACAACCCAGTCTCCCAGTGGCAGCAATGGTCAGTCCACCAACAGCACCACTGGTGGCACCAATGGTCAGTCCACCAACAGCACCACTGGTGGCACCAATGGTCAGTCCACCAACAGCACCACTGGTGGCACCAATGGTCAGTCCACCAGCAGCACCACTGGTGGCAGCAGTGGTCAGTCTGCCAGCAGCACCACTGGTGGCACCAATGGTCAGTCCACCAGCAGCACCACATCTTCATCCAAACAGCCACCGTCAGCAGCTGCAGTGAGAAGCTTCACCTCCATCCATCTGCTGCTCTCATCCTTCATCCTGCAGGCTGTCTGTATGTGAGACACCTCACCTGAGCTCAGCAGGACCAGTTCCTCTAAGATCAGGAAGGTTAGTTTACCTGAGCTGGGAACAGTTGTACAACAACAGGTAGTTTACCTGAGCTCAGGACAATGTTTATGACAGTAAGTAGTTTGACTGAAAAAGGTAGCTCAGGACAGGTAGTTTTCTGAGCTCAGGTGGATAATTTACCTGATCAGGTAGTTTTCTGAGCTCAGGTGGGGTAGCTCCCTCAGACAGGTAGTTTACATCAGTTCATGGTCCAGTGAAGATCCATCAGWAACTGTTAGTTTCACCTGACGTTAGAGGCTGAGCAGCAGCTGAAAAGTTCTTTGGATGGTTTTGATTCTGGTGGTTTCTGGGTTGATGCAAATAAAATGTAAATAGAGGATTTAATTTTTTTTCTCTTGTTGCTGGATTCTTGTTTTGTGGGGGGTGTCTGGGGGGGTTCTCTGTAGGTGTTAAATTTTAATATATTTTAGTGTAAATGTTTGTGTTACAAGTAGTTATATAAAGAACAACATATTTTACATCCATGTATCTAAAATCTATAAACACAATAAAATCAGAGAAATAAGCTTTGATGAGGAAGTCTTGGTTTATAGAATGTTTTATGTGATATAATCTCATCAATATTAGAATGTTTAATTAGTTTAAAGTAAAATGAATAGTTTTGTTGTTGGTATGAACCCATGTGTACAGTATCTTCTCTGGCTGATTAGTTCTGTTAACATCAATGCTAATAATTAAAGGCACCAGTCATTGATTCATGAATACTAATTAATTCATTCTTAATGAAAGTAAACTCATCCTCCACCTCTGTTTTCTGATGCACAAAATGTTTCATTTTTATGAATAAGATGTTTTATTTCAAACCTGTTTCTCTCCACTGATTATCATATTTTCTGCAGAAGCTTGTGCAGTAATTACTGAGCAAAGATGAGTTTTAAACATGCTGATCTGCTCCAACATGGCAAGGCTTGGATCAGATCTCCACTGATCAAATGCAAACTTCTGGAAGGCAACAGATGATGAATTTTGGAAACATATTTAGGTGCCTGTATCATAAAATCTACATGATGACAAATGGTGTTCCATGATATTTACATTAATCATGGTGCACAAACTATATATTTGCAAATATACATTAAAAAACCCTCAGCAGATGATAAGCGCCACATTCTACAGGTCTCTAGAATGAAGGATCAGGGCTTCAAAACCTTCAGGAATCTCAATAATTTAATGCCATGCCACCTCTGATTAATAAGGTCCATGTTACATATAAGAGAACCAGGACTTTAGGATGAGAAATGTTCTACTGGAACCAGAAGATCAAGAAAGCTTAACACTGTCAGATAGTTACTTTACGAGCAAGATCAGAGAGGGATGAATAAGAAGGGTATGGGAATGATGGAAACTATAATATCCAACATGCTGACTGACTCAGAATCAAGTTTGGATCCAGTTTTCCAGTATCTACATGAAGAAACACCTAGAAACTAAGGTACAATATAGAGATGCTATGGCAATGAGGTTAAACAATCAACCCTACCATCTGAGTTTGAGTCCAATCTAACATACACCATAGCATCAATGATCCTTTAAATAAAGCTTTGCAACATCAGAAGAAACATTTTCCCCATGGAGGTCGACACAGAACATTAAGCTCAGGCCATTTCCTACAGGTTCTTTGGTTGTAGCAGACTTTCTTTGGTCTAACCCTAACCATTGATGTTCCAAGTAGAAAGGCAGGTCCTCGAGAGCCGATGGACATTTGGAACAAAGCCCAACATATATAATAGATCAGGACTCTGTACCACAGAGCAGACAGTGTCCCTACAAACCCAGGAGCCAGGCAGAAAGAGAAATCACACACACGACAGGCCCTGGAGCAGTGGGGGCCTCCGTTTTTCAGATGTCCCCCTTCTACAGCGCTGCCAGTATCACTCCACCCCTGTTAATAAAAGGTATTAATTAGGTGTCAACGATAGCCATGTGATGTGAGTATGAGTCACATGGAGGCAGGACTTAAAAGTCTGAATTTAGCCTGAAACTCTCAGACTGAAGAAGTCTCTTGGAGGAGAG